ATGGTGAGCTAGGCCTATAACCCCACATCAGATTTAGTTGACTAAAACCACTTCTGGATAATAAGCTTATGTAACTAAGCTAAACTCTTGCAATAGAAGGAGATAATAAACACGTGAGGGAGGGTTTCCTTCATTAACTGTAGGGAAAAGGTCAGTGCGAGTTCTGTTTCTATATGCCCATTTGAATGGAGTACAATTTCATGAGACCGTAATATTCGTTTTGAACCCTGCACATAAAAACAACAACACGTATATCAGGCATTGGCAGTAATTTATCATACACGCTTAGGAGGTGACACAAGAGACTAAGGCCTGGATTCACGTCATCATCAGGTTATTAAGTCCATTTCTCTGCAGGGGAACAGTCACTCCACCACTAAATCCCTCCCCAAAGGGTGTGATGTGCCTCGGCGGGGAGGGCAGGGTAAAAATCAAATCAAATCAATAAATAAATGTGTGAATCTGGCATACTATCGGTTTTATTTACATTCATTGGAGAGCCAGTTTGGTGTAGTGGTTAAGTGTGCGGACTCTAATCTGGGAGAACCAGGTTTGATTCCCCACTCCTCCACTTGTACCTGCTGATGTGACTTTGGGTCAGTCACAAGCTCTGGCACAGCTGTCCTTGAAAAAGAGCAGTTTCTGTCAAGAGCTCTCTCAGCCCCACCCACCTCACAGGGTGTCTGTTGTGGGGAGAGGAAGGGAAAGGAGTTTGTAAGCCGCTCTGAGACTCCAAGTGAAGGGAGGGCTATAAATCCAATCTCTTCTTCTCTTCTTCTTCTTCATTTATACCCCACCTTTCTCTGCAATGTGAACCAAAAGAGCTTTACATCGTTCTCCTCTCATCTATTTTATCCTCACAACAACCCTGTGAAGTAGGTCAGGTTGAGAGTATGTGGCTGGCCAGCAAGCTTCCATGGCAGAGCAGAAGTTCACACCTGGACTTCTCAGGTCATAGTGCAAGCATTCGAACCACTACACCACACTGACTCTCCACACTGGATGAGCACACAAGGAGCCTCTACTCATTTTTGTTTTAGGCCAAAGAAATCGGAAGGCACATAAATTGGGCTCCTTCTGCATGTCTGCACAAAGGCTTTAAAACAAGGGTGCACAATTCAAATGGCTACAAGGGCTATAACAGATCTTGACTGGAGAGAAACAGGTTGCCCTGGAACATCACCCAGCCTCCATAAAGGGTCCAGAACACCCACTTGCTAGTCCTCACACCAAATATACAGATAGTTAAGACAGCTGCTGGTATATTTAGCATGGGGGGCTAGGACACTGTCCGTTACTATGTCCTTAATACTTTAATTTGTAAATAAAGTAAACATAGTACTAACAAGAATGCTCTATTTCAGTTCCAGTCTTGCACTTCAACTACTGAGTCCTCTTAAGCAGCCAGGTTGACTCAGAATGCCACCTTGAATCTATTTCTGTGGGTCCCAGACAGCTTCCAATAGTTGCATTCTTGCCTTCTCCTTTCATCCGGCATGATTTAAAAAACATACATTTTTACCATTCAGTTTGTTCCATCTGTTAAGGGCACAAACTTAGACCACTGATAACTTCAGTGCAAAGTCTAAAGTCTATTTATATGTGGACATCAAAGACTACCATTGGCTTCAGGCCAAGACCTTCACGTGGTCTGTAAGAAACATTCTTACGCAGGATAATTTAACTGGAAATTATTGCTTTCTTGAAAATTTGGAAAATGGGCTTGATGGTCCTTTCTTCTGTTGATTGCTTTTGTTCTCTTTTCAATGTAAATGTGAACTTTTAATGCAACAACACACAAAACCTTTATTGGCATGAAAACATTTAATGCCTGACCCAGGACAGAAATGCTGTAATTTCCTTTGTGTAGAAATAGGGAAGTCACCATGCTAAACAGCGTGTTACAACATGTCTAAATTATTGTTTTACAAGAAACAAAATATAACATTTAAAAATAGTTTCCCGTATTAACATAGTTCTGCATTCTGTCTTTTTACTGTTGAAAATAGTACTGTGATACAGCTGGACTTTACAGATGCCTAGATGAAATAATGCACAATTGCTCAACCCTGTCAAAATATCCATAACTTCAGATCTATTTGAAACCGATTCCACTTTGAATACACAAATTAACCTCACATCTCTGGAGGTAACTTAGGCTGAGACACAGTGATTGGCCCAAGGTCACCTGACGAACTTCATGGCACAATAGAAATGTCAGTCCACCTCTGCTAAACTCTAGCCTAACGTTCAGCCCACTACTGGGGTTCTCTTCATATCTTTCTGCATTCAGACATAATGAGCCTCAAGTTCGCATCCTTTCACCCTCCTGGCATTGAGTGTGTTTGCAATATTGATCATTTCCTTGTTTGTTTGTTACAAAACCACTTTTTTATTGCTATAAACCAGGATTCCAAACCATGGTTTAATCCTGATTTGAAGGCAGCTTATAAACAACAAACTGTGATTTGCTGCAAACCAGTATCCGAAATGCATGTCAGGTGAGGGAGGAGGCAGGAGGACAAAGCATGCTAAGCCCAAGTACCTCTGGGCTCATGGTAATTACACCTGAATGTAGCCATATTTTCCCAAAATGCTGGTACCACAACTCATTTTTCTGGCTAACTGAAGAAAAGTTAAGCAACAGAATTGTATCAGTGGGCCACAAGACCCCTTTGCCATGCACCGGATTAGCATCCCATTACCTGCATTTTGACTGCTACTACCACAGAAGTGAGATCTTTATCCAGTTCTTTTAACACCACCAGTTTCTTCAGAGTCAGGCTGCACAACCTGCAAATTCAAACCAATACACAATATTCAGTTATACCTGAAAGTGAACCATCAGACAAAAGAATGCAAGACAACAAAAACATCTAGAAACAGCCAGAAGGCAGACAATGGCATCCTTTGTGCCTTGTAAAGGGAGTTTAGCACATTACACATGCTTCCATTCAGGGAAAAAAAGCATGCTAGTCACATGCAAACACGCACACCCTCCGGAAAAACCCACACGGCTCTGTCAGGAATGGCAACCACTTCAAGAGTATATGCATCTCTCTTAGCTTATAACGGAGGACAGGGGTGAATTGCTTCTGGTGAATTTGAGCAAAAATGCCTGAAATGCCACTTCAGAAAGCTAGAGACTTGAACTGGACCATTTTTGCCTCCATCAGCAGTCAACTTAGTAGGAGAAGAAGAGAGAGATCAGGAGTCCATCCATAGGCCTCTTCTGACCCAACTGTGTATTCCATTTTGTTAGTTGTATTGTGTTTCCACATTCAAAGGAGAGTGAAAGGAAATATGCAGCTCTAATCTACCTACAAGCAGTGAAATCTCACACACTTCAATCATGAGTCTGTGTTAGTTCACTAAAAGAAATGCCATCATCTACCTTATTCTGTCCAGAGTTCTTCTGAATCACCAAAAGGACAGTATCTGCCAAGCCAAGGGAAGGGAAAGGAGCTTAAGGCAGCTTATAAGTGCTTGATCAACAAGCAGACAATCAGAACTAAACAATAAGTATGCCAAGATCGTGAAAAAACTTACACAAATTGCATACTGGGGTATATATCTCAAGATAAGGTTATAGAGGCTGATTTGAAGTTTTTAGAACATCTACCTTTTCACCAATTGCTTAGCCTTCATGGGGCTGGATATGATACACCCCGAGGTGCTTATACATCATCATATATTCCAATAGCCAATTGTTGTCCCATCTGCAGATACTTAAATCCACAGACTGGGGCCATGGAGAAAGAAAGCAGATTTTCCTGCAAAATTGGAGGTTAACCCAGGATTGCAGAAAAATCTGGGAAACTAGTTGTAGATTTTCGGGGCTGTATGGCCATAGTCTTGGCATTGTAGTACCTGACATTTCGCCAGCAGCTGTGACTGGCATCCTCAGAGATTTAACACAGAAAGATGGAGTATTCTCTGTGTCAACAACTAATGAACTCCGGCCGTGAAAGCCTTCAACAAGATATTAAATCTGGGAAAGTTTTCCTTTTTAATGGAGAAGCAAGCACACGGGCATGGACCAGTTGTTTCGGCAAGGCAGCCTTCCCAAGCCTCAGCCTAAATAGGCTGGGAAGTAATCAGGCTTGGCTGACCTGCTGGGGCCATGAAGCTCCTGGGGCCACACTGTGCTTTGGTCAGGATCCTACAAAGAATAACTGTTCTCACTGCCTGGCTACGGGATGGGGTTGCGTGCAGCCAGTTGAGCACTTTGCCTCCTTTGGGCCACCTTGGCCTGGGCCTTCTCCCCCCACTGTTCCTGTGGAGTGAGAGCATCCCCTGGGGGACTACAGGCCTTGGTTTGTATCCTGCCCAGTGGAAGCCTAGTGGTTATTTCAGGGACCGGTGGCGAGGTCTCCCTTGCAGGCTCTGGCAGGGGGAGTATGACTCTGCTGGAACATTGTCAGTAGACACCTCTGCAGTGCTGGGCCCTCCCCGATCCCTGTGTTGTTAGCAGTCAGACCCCTCCTCTCACTGAGGGGCAGTTTATAGCTAGAAAACCATAAACACCCTCCAGAATGTATCATCCCAAATATGGTAAATGCAATACACTGCTTGGCCCAAAATGACACATGCCAGCCAGAGACAAGCCTGGACATAGTTTAGAATTGTGAAAGACAGCGTCTGACTAGCTGATGACCCTCTCCACACCCTACGGAGATGCATAACTTAGGAACAATGGATCTCCCAAGAACCTATGGCCTCACACTGGACTAACCCCACCAACCTCCAGCCTCACTTCCCCTCACCCATTTACCCTAACTAAGCAACACTTAACACTATTCACCAAACCTGGTAGCTTTCCCCATGGTGCTTACAGGGTCATCAAGCAACATTTACACCTATAGTCCACCTCAGACAAACCCCTCCATCTTTTCCAAAGTCACTGTCTACCTTCAGAAAACCCATCAAGTTATTGTTTTGGGGGCAAATACGTAATTAATTATTGTAGGAAAAACAAGTTACAAACTCTTATATTGTCTACAGATGCTGAAAAAGCCTTTGACAGAGTAGAGCCCCAATACTTACAAGAACTTCTCAATGCAATGAACTTTGGCCCCATCTTTAAACAAACCATACAAGCTTTTTATCAATGTCCTAAAGCTCAGATATGTGTAAATCATTTTAGATCTAATGATATATATTTGAAAAGGGGAACAAGACAGGGCTGTCCTTTATCATCCCTTTTATTTGCCTTGTCTATAGAGCCTTTGGCCCATGCGGTTAGATCGGACATAAATATACATGGTATAAAAATAAATTCAGAACATTTTAAAATAAGTCTTTACGCAGATGATGCAATATTTTATTTAACTCAACCAGAAATCTCATTGCAAAATGTAACTAGTCATATACAGAGATTCGGCAAAATATTGGGTTTTGCTGTTAACTATAAAAAATCGGAAATTTATTCAATTTATCTTCCTTCAAGTCAAATGCAACAATTGAAATCAAAATTTAATTTTAATTGGGTACTAAAACATTGGAAACACTTAGGTATAAATATCCCACTTAATTTATCAGATTTATTTACATCAAATTATACTCCTCTTATAAATCAAATTAAAATTATATTAAATGACTGGAGCAAATTATATTTAAATTTGTTAGAAAAGATAGATTTAATAAAAGTGATATTGCTCCCCAAATTTCTATATCTTTTTCAAAATTTACCTATTTCAATTCCGGTTAAAGATTTTTCATTATGGAAAAACATATTAATTAATTTTATTTGGAATGGAAAAAAGGCGAGAATTAATTATGTTACGTTAACTAAACCTTCTAAATTAGGAGATATAGGATTGCCTGATTTGGAAAGATATTATTTAGCATCACAATTAAGAAACATTCATTATTATTCCCTTAATAATTGTACTAAAAATGGCTATATATTGAGCAACTAGAAATTTTACCTAAGCATCTTAGTGAAGTGATATGGAATACACCAAAACAGCAACAGACATTGAAATTGAAGAATCCTTTTTTAAGGCATACTTTACAAACATGGAATAAATATAGACATATCTTGGCTCCTGGAGTTTCCCCTATAACTACAATATTTGGACAATCCTGGTTTATTCCAGGTACAGACAAACAATTTATGTCAGGATTTAGGGCTAAAGGTATTTGTAGAATTCAGGATTTTTTATTTAGTAGTAAAATTGGTACACAACAACAGATAGAGCAAAAATATGGTACCTCAATTTTGTGGTTATCGTACTCCCAGCTTCATCATATGCTATTAACCCTGAGTCATACGACAGATATTTACAGAGAACTAATGACATCATTTGAATTATTTTTGAAAAAACAAGGACAAGAGACCAAAACCTTATTAGCAAAAATTTATCATTTATTAAACAAAAAAGTATGGTCTCATATTTCCTCAATTCAACAGGCTTGGAAGAGGGATTGTGGGATAATATTCACAGAACCCCAATGGAATCAAATTTGGACTTTGAGTGTGTTTTCTAGTAGACACATCAATTTAAAGTTACAACATTTTAAGTTATACGCAAGATGGTATCTTACACCCAATCGTTTACTTAGAAGTAAGTTTAAACCGACTCCACATTGTTGGAAGGGATGTGGTGATAAAGGAGATTTGAAACATTGTTGGTGGGCTTGTCCCAGAATACAACTATATTGGAACAAAATCATAAATGAAATCAAAACAATTACAAACTATGAAATACCGAATAACCCTGCATCACTTTTACTTCACTATTGGCCAGGATCAAAAATATCTAGACAAAAGTTGGAAATTATTTCAATGTTACTGATGGCAGCCAAGAATCTAATTGCACAATACTGGAAAGCAACAAAAATTCCTACGTTGACACAATGGAGAGCCAAAGTATGGGACATGATTGTATCCGACAAAATCGCGATGCAGTTAATTGCACAGGACAATCCCAATATACAGAACAATTTTATGGAAAAATGGTTCGTTTTTTTAATATATTGCTGGCTGTCAACCACAGACTTTTAGTTTACCGCAGAAATATAAGGACTTTGCTTTTTATTAGTTAAAATCGTATGTAAAAATGTTTATAACCGTTTATTGTAAGATTATTTAATGTTGAATGTTCAAGTTAGTTATAAAATTTAATTTAAAAACTTAATTGCAAAAAAAAAAAGATTATGATTTCCACAAAGAACATGGCAGAGATAATTTTGGACTCACTACAGAACACTGCTGGCACTAAGTTAAAATGCTGATCCAAAAGACAGATGAAACCTGCGTGGCTACTAGATAGGATGCCTAGTGGGGGTAAAGCAGATTCTCGGGGGAAGAGAAAAGAGTTATTGGAACTGGAACAAGAGGCTGAAGAGATGCTTCAACTGTAACACAACTGTGCACATAGAGAACTGCCCACAAGCTCCCAGGAAAAGATGGACTCCTCCAGAATGCAAAATATCCTTCACAGTGCCATGTTGCAAACTCAGCTGAAAAGGAATTCACTCTCCTCCAACGCTTTATACAAATCTGCAGAGCAGTGTTGGACACGGTGGCACATCTGTGGTTTTCTCAGCAGCTGCCCCTGTTTCATGAGAAAAGTTACACAGCTACATTGGTCCATGAAAAATCCAAAATTAAGAATGAAATCTGTGAAATATATTGTACAAGGACCAACCAAACTGATACAAAATATTGAGCAAACTTCTAGTCTCACCAGAATTCTTCATCAGTTTGGATTGCTCAGGCTGTGATGTTAAGATCTGATCTTCCATGCATCCTCTGTGAGATGCAAGCAGGCAATTAACTGAACCTG